TATAATCGTGATAAATATTAACATTATGCTAATACTTATTTAACATTAATGCCAAAATCTTAAATTAACTTTTCAATACCAACACAAAAACACTTAATTGTTTTTTTTAAACTGTAATACGACAGTAATAGCATTTTTTAAATACTAAAGCTTAGCTGACATTCCTAGAATAGACATTCAGTGTTTTTCGAAGAATACCTTTAAATCATTTTGAGAAAAAAATACTCTCTCACGCTAAGAAGAAACACTTCATAGAACAAACCTCGACGTGTGTATCTGAAGATTTTTCTCTTCAATTATGAATGTGTTGTTTGTTGATAAAAATCTTTCTGAATTTCTAGAAGAAATTGCAAAAACAAAGAAGCTTTTTAATTAATACACAATGGTCTTTTACCGAATATATTCCAATTCTAGAAAGATCTCTTCGTAGATGATTCATGCGAATATGAACTAGGTCAATTAGGTTCTATGAACATGAAAACATTATTTCGCATAGAAAATCTTGAGAATTTTTCCAGATTATGCTGCAAAAGAGTACCGAAATGACTTCATTATATTTTTGCAATAAAGAAATGCATATTTCAATAGACTTTTGTTTTCTATTAGTTGTTTCTCAAGATTTTTCACACTGAGAACAGACACGTCGCTATGACGACGGAAGCGAAAAATTATTTATAATGAACATAGATATTATTATGGATATAAATACTAAAAAATCAATTATTAGAAGAGAGAAGCCTTCTTAGATGTTAAGCGCTTTAAATATGTTCGATATACGTGGCCAGGTATTTATGGAATAACATTTGTCTCCTCTATATTTTGGTATTTGCAAAAACATAGTAGAAAAAATTGTGTTCTCACTCATACTAATATTTATAGGTTGTTGCAAAGTTTTAAAAAAGGCAACAGAACACAGAAGAAGAAAAGAAAACGACACACTCTTTCTCATTGCTCTCTATCAGTTGTTAGAATCTAACTTTTCTTTCATTTGTCACGTAATCGTCTGTCTTTACCTTTCAACATTTTTATCGTTATGTCTTGCCTTGATGAATTCGATGAGCGTTGGGACTATGATGATCCATCGAAATGGAGCGAACAATATCCAGCAGCAAAAGGCCATTGTCAGTCGCCAATCAATATCAAATTTGGCGAAACTGTTAAGCAGGAATATCCATCATTTACATTTTCTCCTAAGTATAAGGATCGACTTTTATTTACATTAAGAAACACTAGTAAGAAGCTTACTGTTACATTGGCTAAAAAACAACATAATAAAAATCAAACAGATCTATGGGTTACTGGTGGTGGCTTAAATGGTACGTTTCATTTCGTCAACTTTCATTTACATTGGGGTAACAATGATCGACACGGTTCCGAACATGAATTTAATGGATATCGATTTCCGGCTGAAGCACATTTTGTTTTTAAGAATTTTGCAAATCAAGAAATAGCAGTATTTGCATTCTTTCTTGATGTATCGGGCCGATTTGATGACGAAAATACGGAATGGAAAAAGTATGCGGATGCTACATGTCTTTTGAAAAATAGTGGTGATACATATGATTGCATATTTAATTTAAGTCATCTTATGCAAATTGAAAATAAAAAATTTTTTCGTTATATGGGCAGTTTAACGGCACCACCCTGTACTGAAGGCATTATATGGTCAGTGTTTTTTAATATAGTACCAATTGCAGAACACAGTTTAAATTTACTTCGTAATAATGTAATACGAACAGCTTTTAGACCAGTACAGTCAATCAATGATCGAATTATTTATCGAAATTTTGATTGTTGAAAAACGTCTTGAATATTGAACTTTCGTAGCATTTTAGAAAGTAATAATAAAAATCAATTAATCTATTATATATGTCAATTGAATGTTGTTTTATTGTAGTTGTTTGAAATAATAAAACGCAGAAATGCATAAAATGTTCTAATTAGATACAATTCACAGTTTCATCTACCTTTGTTGGTCATTCAACGTAGTTAAATAAATGAGATAAATATTTTAAATTAATATCTGCTCAAAGAAAGAAAATTTAAAATCAGTTTGAAATTTTCTGTAAGAAAAAGACGTCAGAATTACTAAATTTAAATGCAACTAACAAAAGAGACGAACGAAGATATTATCATTAGATGTAACTGATATTGATATTCGTAAATTCTATGTCTAGTCAGATTTAAATAAATTAAAAATCAATTTTAATGAACACAAACGTTCATACGAAAAACAAAACGCCAATGTTTTTTAAGAATTTTATTTGATAATTTTCTTCATTGAAAAAATTCAGATGACAAAAGAAGAAAAACTGATTGTTTTTAGCTAATGTCAAAAGCAGCATCGTATGGTGTTTATAAGAATTCATCATCAAAATTTCAATTTTTAACTGTTACTAACAGTAAAATCAGTTAGTGTCAACACCAGATGTAATCAAAAATTAGTAAAACAAAACAAATCTTGTCAATATATGGAATATGTAATAGCAGCTTTTAGTATTTTTTGCTGACATGCACTCCTAAGTCTGCATTGTTTTTGACTGAGGTCACCTGGCAAAAAAAAAGAGAAGTTAGGACCTAAAGACGAGGATATTGAATCTGCTTTGACAGGATTAATTCTCCGATTTGTATACTGTATGAAGTGATTGTACTAGACACACAATTTCATTCTATATGTAATGGTGCTAATTTCATTTTTTACACTCTTATGAAGTATCATGTAATTTAACAATGGTATGTTACTTATATAGAAACTATTGGAGTGACTTTCCATGTCGATTTGAAACTTTTAGTTTAGAACTATGGATGTCAATTTAGTTTATGAGTATTTTAAATTTTTCTATTTCTTTTTGCTACTTCATGAAGAGATATATCCTTGTTTAAGATGACATTAATCTATTAATTATATGTTGCATGAGATTTTCTTCCATCCAACAGATTGTCATCTATCGAAAGATTCTACTTTTCATCAAAATGAGTTTTTCAAAGAAAAATCAAAAACTTAGTTTATGTTATAGCAAAATGAAACATATTTAAAACATTTTTCGTGAATTCATTACTTTTCAAGAATCACAAGTAATATAGATCAGACTCCAACATAAATATTTTGATTAAATATCGTTCATTAGTTATATGATGCAGGGCTAAAACTAAGAGAAGTAAGTTACCGTTATGTTACCAACTATCGAGTAACGGCTAACGAAAAATTAATCACTCTAATTTCTCAATAGAAGAAGAATAATAATAAAACTTTATATGAAGTCATTATTTTTCTGAAATATCCTTCCCCTATCGAGAAATTAGGTTAACAAATATTTTGTTACTTATTACTTGCTAACTGGTAACTGATTTAGCCCTGCATCATATGTCTCATAAACAATATTTTATTTAAATAGTTATGATAGTATCCGATCCATATTTTCAAGTAATCTATTAATACGAAAAAATCATATAAAGAATATTGAGTATGTTATAACAATAGAACGATGAAGAAAACTTTTTCAACACATTTGTCACACTTGGAAAACGTTAACATATTATCTCATTCCGATAAAAGTAGTTTACTCTTATTTAAACCTTTTAAAAAGATGGCGATATCTCTTGAATCAGATGGAAGATGTTTCAATTTTTTTCGGATTGAAAATCATGTTCTGACAAAAACTATAAATACGTTAAGGCAAGAATTTTTTCATGCGAACTCAGAAAAAAAAAACATTTTAAATTTGCATATTCATAACATACAATGGAGATTAGCATCATCTGTCACACTTATATTAATATAATGTTTTATTTAATGCTAAAAAGGCCGAAAATTATTTCGCAGGTCTGTTGAAATTCCGACATCTTGGACAAGTCGTGTATGTATTCTGATAGAGTAAGTTTCGATGCATCTTACTGTGATTTAAGGATAGCAACGACTCCATCGTGTTTCATATTTTAATACTGCAGAGGTTGTACTGGAATTTTTGTTTACACTAAAGTGTTTTCGGAATTCAATATTACCATCGAATAAACTACTTCTGTCGAATGAAAATGAATTTATAGGACTGAAAATCTCAGATCATCTTTCAAATTACTAATTTTAGGTTATTTATGGACTCAAATTGAAGCTTTTTCTAAATTCTAAACTATAATACTATTACCTTTCATGAATGAGAAAGAATATACATTTTGAATTAATATTTGAGATCACTGTTGAGAAAATATGGATAAATGGTAGAAAAAAGTTTAGAGCAATTGTATTTTTGAGTTTTCTAGTGGATGGTGATGGCTGAAAAGAATCTAAAAAGACTTTTCAGTAGCTGAAGAGATTCTCTAGCAGGATTAGTAGGTTCAAAAACTCTAACAAAATTGCTTGTGTGAGAGTGTTTGGACAACCAAGATTCCAAAGTCAGTTTTCTGACTTTCATTCCAAGCCTTTGGGAATAGATTTTATTTGATAGAGCTCTGGAGGAAGATCATAGAGTAGCCGAAGATATCTCATTTTGCTTTATAAAATAAAATATTTTTCCAAAATATTCGAATGGAAGCCAGAAAACTGGTTTTGGGGATCTTTGTTTTCCAAACACTCACACACAAGCAGTTTTGTTAGAGTTTTTGAACCTATTAATCCTAATAGAGAATCCTTTCAGCTACTCAAAGGTCTTTTCAAATTTTTTCCAGTCATCACCATCGACTAGAAAACTCGAAAATACAACTGCTCTAAACTTTTGTCCACTACTGTAGAACTAACTTTTTTCTGATATTTCACTAACGATCTCTGAGAATTCTCTGTTCTTCACGCAATAATTATATTATAGAATTAGAACTAATACAAGGGTGTGGGTGAGAGTGTGAGTACGAATTTCATTTTCATCTACACACACCCACACTCACACCCTCATCCCCTTGCTCACGCATCCACACTCACATCTCTCGATTATTGACAGTCATGCCAGAGCTTGTCATTATATTTGTGTCAAGATTGATAGTATCAGTTTACAAATTGTCCTGCTCTATTATCATGGGAGGATGCGAACAATGTTCTCGCCTGCACCCAATACCACAAGAAGTTGCCACGGTAATGGACATGCGCTCAAATTCACTGATATTTTGCCGAATCCAGTTCTCTTGTTATGATAAACCAGTCTTGTTTCATTGCAAACAAGTGTCAACGATATTTCATCACCACTATGCATCGAATAAGTACCGTTCACAACATGAATGCCTCCGATGACTGGAAATTTTGTGTCCCACCAACCATAACTGGAGGATAATTTAAACGAAGTAGTTGTCATCTGCTCATTCGATGGAATGATTCCAATGAAAATACTATTGTTACTCAAATGTTCGATTCGAAATCGAATTTGATGAGTACCCGTAGAATATAACTGGGCACCACGAATACTCGTCGAGTGAACATTCTTCTTCTTTGCAATCAAATAATTTTCCTCGAGTTCAGCATCACCAACTACTTTTTCAAATCTCTCAGCATTTCCACTCAGTATTTTCCCCACAGCACGAGACAAACACGTGAAAGACGACGGAATAGGATCTACTGAACATGCTACAGTTGTATCGTTATTGGCTCCTGCATAATGTTGATCATGACGTTCTGTGATCCTTACAAATTGAATGGGTTCGAATTCAAGGTCAGATGATAATTTTATAGATTCTAATGCTTTTGGAATATCCTGCCGACACTTTTTAATTTCGATAATCCATTGATCAATATCTCTCTCTGAATGATTTGAATCCCGACAAGATTGAATTTGTTGTGAAATTCGATTAAAATCTGATTGAAGACGGTTAGTATTCGTTTCAAGTAAATGAGAAAGATCAGCACGAGCTAATACTGCTATGATCTGAACTTTAGTCGTCGATTCTTGTTCCCATTTGTTGATTTGATTGAATATTTGATGATTATCGGTTACATTCCGCATTTGTTCAATGTCATGTTCCAATAGACTGAGTTCTTTTTCGACGCTTTCCATTTTTAAATTGATGTCTTTCTGACGTAGATTGAGATAATTCAAAATAAATATCTATCTGAAATTTTCAAACATGTAAATATCATTGATTGACTTCGCACGCTGGAGGTATTTCTTTTATTTGTCTTTATTCTTTTTCTGGAGAGAAACAGTCATGCTTATATCTACTCAATTATATGGATGTGAGGAGAAAAAGCAGAACTGAAATTCGAACAAGACAGAACGGTAAAAATAAAACAAGACTTTTAATGTATGTTTGCATTACATTTTCATGCGCTTTATTTTAGACGTGGTAGGCCATGTGTATGTTAATACATGAAAGAAAAAACAATGTACGTGCGGGTATGAGTAAAATTTTTCTTTATATTCACCCCCTAGAGATGATAAGGAATACGACCGATTAACTCGAAAGGTAAAGCATCGAGAGACAAGGCAACTTTGGTAAACATGAATGCGTGTGCTGTTGAAATATGTGTAGAGGTGTGAAGTATACCTCGTGTGTAATTCTTACCGTTGTGAAATTTTGCTGTTTTAAGAAGATTCAAAAATGTAAGGTGTGGTGCGGATTTTCTTTTCACCTACACCCACGCCCACACCCCACATCCACACTCACACACCCCACACCCACAATCTTTATCAGACGCGCTTGCGTCGGGGATTCTCGTTGTTCTTTCTCTTTAAACATCATTTTGACTTAGTGAGAAATGGAATTTATTATGGCTTTGATATTGACCGTTTTACAAGCTGTCAACCAATTGTTGTTTCAAGTAGAGGCAAGCTGATTTGCGAGTTCTCATCAATATCGACTACCTTCACAAACAGTTCGCTACCATGTATAATAACACGATCTTCAGTGCGTATGACGACATCGATTGAATGAGTTCCTGCAGGAATATAAACAGTTTCAAATTTCACACAAGGAAAAACGGTATGAGACGACTCAGCGTACAAGTAGATACCACCTTGTAAATCAGTATGCAGCAAATCATTGGCAAAGCTTGGATCAAGATTTTTGCGCTCCTCTGTATTCGGGTACAATTTGTTAGAAATGAGAATCTTTTCGTCGATCATTATGCGTACGTAAGAGCGCTTTCCGAGAGCCGAAGTGAACAGACTTCCTTGAAAACGAATCTCATAAAGACGAGGTCGAGAATGGTGGAAGATGAGTGATAAGCCAGGTACTTTCACAAAACTGGTCGAAGCCAAAGTGAGATCGAAACTCACAGGTGTTTGAGTTTTTAAAAAGAGTTGAGGATTGTAACTTATACTGCTGCTCCGACCATTCAATTGCCCATCTAGGTAGATGATACCGGATGCGATTCTTGTCGTGTTACCAAGCGCTTGAATACTATCGTAGGCAATGAGACCAATAACGAGAGTGAAGAAATGCATTTTGTACGCGAAATATGGCAAGAGCAGTCTGATTTAATAACTAAACAAAATAGGAACTCGATTGCAGCTTCAGTGAACCCAATTATTTAAATGAGAAAATTTTATACAGAGCACGTCAAAAAAAAGAGGGTCGTACTTGTATGCGCTTTCCATTGGATTGGTAGAATGCGTATTCATACCCTCATGGATACGATTCAAATTATAAAATCTAAACTGGTACTTCTACACAGGGTTTACAAACTCAAGCATGAAAATACAGCAGTTGGGGTTGTACACAAGTTCAAATTACACAGGTTGGCCCAGTGGCATCGCTGCCTGACTTTTCAAACAGAGTCTAAAATTCCGATAATCTGCCTTGGTGCAACATCTTTGGCTGTCAATATTCAAGTCGAAAGCCTTCGTATCACACTGATTACCAACGATCACGCTAATCAAATGTGAGTGTATGGGTAGATTTATAGATGTCACTCCGGTTAGATGAATACGTGTGCCGGTGGCTGTTGCTTTGAGTGTAGAAGTGATGAAGAGAAAACTGTCAATTTACTCCACACCTACACCCACATCCCAAATAAGATTATTTCAAGATCAAAATATTCATATATTTATTCTTCTCAAATGAGAACATGTATTTGTACTTTAAACATTTTTAATTACAAAACTTGAATGTCTCTAAGCATGACAAATACATACATAGGTGATAAATGATCATATTTTTTATTTGATTGAATTGAAATAAACAAAAATGTACGAAATGATCATTTTTTTATTTTCTCATTTAAGAATTTTATTACTAAAATTCTCATATTGAATAAATACAAAAAAAGTTTAATAATTGAATATGCTAGTAAAAATAAAAACATCAATTTTTTCAAATAATCTTACATTATGAAATATCTTCATCTAATATCAATTAAAAAAAATAAACACGGAATTGATGATGCCAGAAAAAGACAAATGATCTTAGTTAAAAAGTTTTTTCTCGAATCTTCTCCAAGATAGTATCAATTCGTTTCTGTTGAAGAATAATTGGACAGATAAGAAGAGTCTTAATGAACGCTTTTAAACTCTATCACTGATATGATGAATAATTGTTAATTTATGAAGGAGAACTAAGAATCGTTGCACGAATTATGCTCGCTTTGTAGGATACCAAAAACAACAGGTTAAGGTTTTGAAATGAAGATAAGAACTTTTCGTGCTTTGTCATTTTCACTCTTCAAATAAACATAGAGAAAGAATTAAGAATGACTACACCATTTACAAATTGTTGTATTTAATATGCATACAATTTTGTTTATAGAAAATTTTTGAAAGTAATATGATTCTAGAAGTATACATGTCATCGTCTATGGCCTTCTCGACTCGACTTGTTTACAATCAATAATTTTTCTTCATTATGACAAATATCACTTAACATTAACCAAACGATTAGAGAGACCATGTAGATTTGTTGCTTTATGATTGACAATGAGAGTGTATAATGAAAATCTTCACTTCAATCGCATGTGTCACCAATACCTACTCATGTCATTCTAGCTCTCAGTCATATTAGAGTTTGAGCATCGAAAAGAAGAGTGACTTGCATTGAGTCAAAAAATAACATTTAACGAAACAATTAAATTCACCGAAGAATTTTGAGATTAGACAAATAAACAAAAATAAAACCAAAGCAGACATATCGAAATATTTTCTGTTCGACTTCAAACATTAGTTTGTTCTAAAATTAAAAAAAAAATGAATGTTCCATCTTGAAACAATCTTCGATAATGATTCTATTTCATCCCTATCGAAAAGTAATATAATGGAAAATCATCACAATATTGAATTCCAAAGATAAACGATTCAATCAAGTGAAGAACGATCACTATTCAAATCAACCATCGTTGGTAAGAGACAATTGATAGTATATCTCAGCATTCAATCATCTTCTCATTTCTAATCAATATTTCGAAAACAAAGTTGAAGCTCCAATATCTATCGCAAATAGTACTTCCATGATTAGGTACCAGAGATTCGAATGGGCTGGGCTGGGCCGAAGAAAGCCAACCCATGGGTTATCGACCTTTGGTCCAGCCTATCCATGGTCTTCTTTGAAAAAATCGGTCCAGCCCAGCCCATGGTTTTCCTTTGAAAAATCAGCCCAGCCCACCCATGGGTGACCCATCTGGTTCAACATTTTTTCATGGAATAGTTTAACTTGCTATATTCGTCAAAGTTATTTATGATCGCTAACTATTCTTTTATTTTATCATTTTTAATAGCAGTGTACGTCGATGGATGTTATTTCAGAAGA